TGAGTGCAAAGCCAGGAGTAACCCCTGTGCATCGCTGGGTGTGACCCCTTCCCTCAAAAAAAAAAAAGGGAAAAAAAGAACCTGCCTATTGTCTTTTTATGTCTGGGGAAGTCAGTCAGTGCATGCCCATGGCTGATCACCCTTCTAATAACAGAGCTCAAAATTCCAAAACTAACTGTGTGACTAACACGTGTTGTACCAGCAACTTCAGAGTGAAACTCAAGAATTTCAGTAAGAACAAGCCCTAAACCACATCACTATTAAGAAAATATAGTTTAGCCCATCCCAAAGTTATCATTGGATGGCATTTCAAAAATTTTGGTGGGTGTTTTTTTCAGGACCCAGAAAATATTTCCCATGATGATGATCTTTTGTTAAAAGTGGGGTGGAGTACTTACCTGGGAATTGGAACTGATGAGTCAATGGGTCATAATTTGGGTATATATTCAGCTTTAATATATAACACCAAAGTGTCCTGAGAAGCATAGTCCTGACAGATGCTCCAGACAAAAATGTGTCTCAATGTGTGTGTGTGTGTATGTGTTTGTTTGGAGAGTGGGGAAATGGGAAACCGGTTGTTTTTATTGAGCATATATGATTAGAATTGTGTGAGTGCTTTATACACATCATTTGATTTAGTATTCACAGCTCAGTTTTCTTTATTTTCCAGCTCAGTGAGTTTCCCCCAATTGAAACAACTGAAAAGTAGCAGAGACAGGGTGAGGCTCATGACCAGTTAGCTCAGGGCGAGTATCACCAGAGCTGTCAGCTCCGTCAGTCACTGTCAGCCCTATCAGCTTCAGCTCCCTCAGTCACTGTCAGCTCTGTCACTCAGCTGTCAGCTTCCTCAGTCACTGTCAGCTTCATCAATCAGTGTCAGCTCATCAGTCATCTGTCAGCTGTCTAGGGATGTCCCTGAAGGCTGACTGAAATAGATGGGACTAGAGCGAGATTGAGAGATTTGGCAGGAGAGCATGGAGGGGTCAAGTAGCTGGGAACAGGGCAACTTGCTGTCAGGGACTCCTTCACTGCTGGCTGGTATTTATAGTCTCCTGTGTAGAAATTGCTCTTTGTAGTTCAGTAAAATAATACTGACCTCTGGACTCTGACTAAAGAAGGGGCTTTTATCCTTCCCAGGGGAGAAAGTTGGTGGCTCTCCCTCTTCCTGGAACCATAGCCTTTGTTCTGGTTGTGTTTGAGGTTTCTGCCCTGAGTATTCATGGTTTCCTCCTTCGCAGGGACTGCTCATGCCCACTCTGACTGGCCCTGACAGGAATTCCTTGGGAGACCTGCAGCCTCTGGAACAGAGCCCTGACTCGCCTGCCCTCCTCACACAGCACACACAGGCTGTTTCTCAGCAGAGGCCCCAGCAGAGGGCAACCTGGCTGGCCACTTCCTGGGACTCAGCTGGGCTTTGAGCTCCCTGGGTGGGCACTCCCCTGGGAAGCTGGACCTTCTTCCTGAGTGCTGGATCACAGTCCTGGTAGCCGCCCCCACAGCACCACTCCAATCAGAGAAGTCGCTGGCAGAGGAAGTCCCATTTCCTCACCAGGACTCTCCCTTGTGGCCTTTGCAGAGTTGCTGTCCACGTCAGTGCAGACATTCCACAGGTCATCCCAGTGACAGCAGGGGTGGCACACCCTCGGGCAGGTCTAAGGGGCCCATCAGATCCAGAAGAGGAAGCAACCTCTGCATGTGGCTGCGGGATGGGCACCACTCCCAACCCGTCCTCCCGGCCCTGCCGTTTCCCCCAGCCCAGGTCTCTCACCCCACTGCCACCTGTTCCCTCACTTGTCGGTACCCTCCCCTTGACCTCTGCTCTGAATTGAGACTTGATTTTAATGCTTCCTGAGATGACAAAAAAAAGACAAAAAAATAGGAAGTTCCTAATCTTTTGTCTCAAAGATCAATTTCGTTTCCCTCACCTCCACGTCCCATTTCCTGGCCCGGGCTTTCAGACCACAGAGGCTGCGAATGGTGTTCTCAGAAGGAGAGCGTCTGTTCCAGCCTTCCTGCGTCAGCAAGCACCCCGCCCCCTCGTCTCTAAGGTCTCACAGGTAAGCATCTGCCCTGCAGGGGCGGGTGCAAGAGGTGAGAGGGAGCAGTTTCCTCTCCTCTTGCTCCAGCCTCCTCCTGCAGGTGCCTGTTGAAGTGTCCTGGGTTCACACACCTGTGGCTTCAGATCACACGCTTCCACCAAGGAGCAAACCAGCAGGGTATGGATGCCCCCTGGTAGGGAGAGATAGTGCCAGGGACTGAACTTGTGGCTTCACACATGCAGGCCCACGCGCGTGTGAACGAAGAATATTGCGCTAAGCTCGGGATCCTTCTCTCCTTCCCCTCAGAGCTCTCTGGACGCTCCCTCACTAGCAGCAGGTGGATTTTCTCGGCCTGCCCTTCCTGAGCTTTGTGCCATCTGTGCATGGGGACAGACGGCAAGTGTGGACTCCCTGACTGGACAGCTCACGGTCTGGGGAACACTCACACTGGCTGGACACTGCATTGGCCGCTCAGGGAGTTCAGAGTTGCTAGATCCTGCGGCATTCCTTAGGGTAGTTAGTTGCACTGTCAGACTTTTCTTCTAGATTAGGGGTACTTTGAGGGTGGAGGGACCCAGAGAACTGGAAACAAGAGACTTGTAGGACCCCTCTCTGAACCTGCTTCAAATGTGAGGAGACAGGCAGGAGGCAGTTGAGTGGGCTGTCCAGGAGATAAACTACTTTTGAGTCAACATTCAAACTCCCCATCCCGTGCCCTCTCCACTGCCTTGTACTGACACATGCCCGGGCAACAAGGAGCCAACTCCCTGGCCACAAACAGGGCCAGGTTTGGTCACACCCTAGAGGAGCTGAGAAGGGTGGTAGGACCGTGGGGCTACCCAAACCTCTCCCATCGCACCCCCAGCCCCACTAGTGACAGCCTTTAGGGAACTTCCCTTTGACTCCTCAGGTCAACATGCTCTGTCCGGCTCATGACATGTACCAAACCCAGGTCCCTGAGGACAAAAGGACCTTAGGGTCCTATTTTACAAGACTGTATTGTTATTGTGTTTGCAATGTCTGGAAATGTGACACCATTCAGGCCAGTCCATGCTGAGGGGCAGACTTGGGGTGTGGGCAATTCCGTAATGAGAGGAGGAACCCAGGACGGGAAATGGGCAGGTTTTGGCTTCGTTGAGGGAAATCTCAGTCTGCTGGGGAAGTTGTCTGGGTGAAATGACCAGGCGAGGACATGCTGCTCAAGTCACATCTACAGAATACATTAAAAACTCGGGAAGCCTTACTTATACCCCAAATGAAAGCAAGTTCTTCAAACTTTCATGCTGCCAACCTGGGTTCTATCCCTGCCTCCCCAAGCCCCACCAGGATTGATCCCTGAGCACAGAGCCAGGAGTAAGCCCTGAGCAACCCTGGGTATAGCTCCCAAACTAACTAAAACAATGGTTTACTTATTCTTGAAATATTTGTTGTCCCCCAGACATGACTAAAGATACCGCGAATATATTGGACGGTGATCACACAGAATTCAAAAGCTTCTCTGCTATGAAGAGAAAATTTGTAAGTAGCGTTCTGAAGCTTTGTACGTCTGATAACACAAACGCCCCCTGTCACCAGATGGTTTAGGAGATAGCAGAATGATTATAATGCTCAGCTCCCGTTAATCTGAAATATTTCTCACGATGCGTAATATTTGAAAGTCACGATGCTCACCAGGAAATGTAACAACAAAATAAACGAACAGTATGATGTGATAGTGGGGAAGGCACTGAGGTGGGTCTTGGGCAATTAAAGTACACTGTGTGACTTTAAGGAAATCAGTTCAATGTGTCATATGGGCTCCAGTTTCCTCTTTGGTAGGAATGGAGTCATTGCAGTAGAACCTCCAGATTATGGGTCTGAGATTCCAGTTACGTGTGCTGTGGCCCAAACCACTACTCCCCGTGGCTGGTCAGCCTTGGCCAGGGTGATTGAAACCGAAAGATTAGATGGCGTGAGCTTCAAGTCAGAGGTGTAGTTCTGGGAAAATTTATTACTACACGTCAGTGAAATATAATAACTAGGTTAGATGAATAATCAAGCCGAGGCTGGAAGGGTTTTTTTGTTTTGTTTTGTTTTGTTTTGTTTTTTCATGAAATGTAAGAAGAGGAGCAGTACTGACCACTAAGAAAAATCCTCTGGGTTTCTGTTTTGGTGTTTTGGCTACACTTGGCTGACTCAGGGCTTACTCCTGGCTCTGTGCTCAGGGATCACTCCTGGCTATGCTCAGGGGACCATAGGTAGTACAGAGGCTCAAATCTGGGTTGGCTGTGAGCAAGACAAGTGCCTGACCCCCATACTATGTCTCAAATCCAAGAAATCATCTGTTTAACAGAAGCCTTGAAGAGAGGAATTCTCTGGGCTCTGCAAAGGACTGAGAGGTGAGGAGTCCGGCTCCAGCTTCATGCTGGCAACGGATGCGGCCCAGCCCAGTGGTTCCGGCCACCTGGCACCTCTTTTCCCTCTATAGAGCTATAGGGTGTGGGCAGTGCTCTAGCTCTGACTTAGGTGACCGGTACAGAACGTTTGCTTCATAATGTCTGACTGTGTTTGTTTTATGCACTCTTCAATGCTTTTCAAATTTGAAAGCTCATTTCAGACACGATACACAGTGTCCTGACTGACGACACCCCTCCAGATTTTAAGTTGAGACAGTATATCTGAGAAACCATCTGACTTTGTCCAGTAGATATTTTCTCTGGGTTAGATCTGTGCAGCGGACAGGGGTGGAATCTTTTGAAAGACAAATACATTATGTGCTTCCTGCCAATAAGGACATAATACTTCCTCGTTGTCATTAATGAAAAATAACACGCACTTTTAAGGTTCTGTAGATATTAAAGAGAAAGAAAACATTCAAATGAGTCACCTATTTGCACACGCAGGGCTGAGACGTGCTATAAATGTCTCGAGCTTCTGGCAGAGAACACTAGACAGACCCCAGGTCCGGACAACCTCCTCTGGATGGCAGCGATACAGCTGGCCACGCTGTGGGCCCTGTGCCTGTTCCCTGGTCGCCTGGCCCTTCCTCTGCCACAGACCCATGATGCAGGAGGCAGGAGCGAGCAGCAGAAGGAACTGGCCCAGGTACGTCACCACCCTACTCAACCGGGACCCCTCTACTCAGAGAGGCCACACGTGAGTTAATCACGTAGCTATCAGAACCTGCCCCACTCACCATAGGTGAACATCGGAATGATTTTTGCCTTCTCTGAGCTTCACATTTCTAACTTGTAGATAATAATGGGATCTGGGATCCGTCATTATCATTGGTGTTGTTACAGCACTGAATGCCTTACTGTAACACTGGTTCATCATAAACTTAAGTGTTGACTGCTACTATTTATGGAAACTAGCCATCTTTTTCAAAAAAGTTAGAGGTCAGCCTCTTAAAATGAGAAGGTCTTCTAATGGAGGGACTTGAAATGAGCAAGGAGAAAAATAATGAGAAAGACAAAGTCAAGATTATAGTTTCCCAGGCTGGGAGCCTTAGGACAGCAGGGAAGGTGTTTGCCTTGCATGATTTCCAACCTGGGTTTGATCCCTGGCATCCCATATGGTCCCCTGAGTACCATCAGGAGTAATTCCCGAGGGTAGAGCAAGAAGTCACCCCTGAGCATAGCCTGTGACCACCACAAAAAAAAAAAGGTTACAGTTTCCCAAATGCCAGCTGATGAAGATGTACAAGGCAGCAAACTCGTTTTCTTCTGTATTCAGCCAACAGAAATAAGAATCCAATGTATTTTATGCCCCACAAATCATTCTAAGGGATAAATGAAGTGCCAACAATAATAACTCGGGACTATCACAATTACAGACTAGAAGATACTTCAGACACCTAATGTCAATGAATCCTTAGTTCTATCCTTGAAATAGAAGCCAAACTTTAGCTCATTGACTTACTAAATGATAGAGGTCGGAGCCAAGGACAAGTTTTTCTGGTTTAAAACTAACATTCTTTCTAATACACTATTGTTAGTGATTATGTGTAAACAACGGAATGTTTAGAGTTCAATTTTGAGTTTAAGTTAAGCAGAAGAAAAGACAGATTTTATTTCACATTAACTTCAATTTTTTGAAAGTCTACTGGCCTGTCAGATTGAATCATATGAAATTATTTGTCTTGGGCTGGTTTTTTTTTTAACTTCCCAAAGAGCAATTTCCTCAGGTCCCAGCTAGTAGGATCTCCTCCAGGAGGAGGGACTTGCAAGAATAGTGTCCCTTTACTAGTCCTTTAACCCTTTAACTAACTCAGATGGGAGGAGGTACAGGAAATGTCATCTCAAGGGCTCAGACAAGTTTCTCTCAAAGGGGATTCTTTGAAATGTTTTAACTCTGAAAGGGACCATTATTTGTGTGTAAATTTGGAATTCCTTGAGCAATGACTAGTTGCTGTCTTGAAAGAGTCTCTGGTACCAGGATGGGAGCAAAACCATGCTCCGGTCACTGGACAAGCACCTTTGGCTGAACTCTGAGGCTAGGGGTCAGTCCCACCCAGTCTGCCTCATCCTGCAGAGAAGAGAGCCAACTTGTGACCTGCATCCCATGTGTGGCCCTCTATGCTGTTCTAATGAAATCTGCTTTGGAATTAGAACCTAAGTGAAACGTGAAACGTAGCTCTTTCCCTTACTCACACTGTAACCTGGTAGCAGTAATTGTACTTCCCTGCGCCTAGGTTCTTGCTATGCAAATGGGAATGATGCTGCTATTTGTGAAAGGGTTAAGTGGAGTGAGTCAAGTTCCTAGTACAGCACCCATCACCTCTAGAAAGGGTTTCACAGATGCTCTTGGGAAGCTGCTGCCATCTGATTTTATGCACTTTCTCTTTCCTCCAATTTTGCCTACTGGACTGCCATCTCAAATCCAGATACTTGGGTCCTCTTATAAAATTATAAAATTGGGTCCTCTTATAAAATTCCAGAGGCAGGGTTAGAGCAACATTATAGCAGGTAGGGTGTTGGCCTTGCATATGGCCAACCCAGGCTTGATCCTGAGCATCCCATATTGTTCCCTCAGCACTGCCAGGAGTAATTCCTTAGTGCAGAGGCAGGAGCAACCCCTGAGCATTGCCGGTTGTGACCCAAAGGCCAAAAAGAAAAAAAAAAAGAAAGAAAGAAAGAAAATAAAATGAAAAAAAGACATTTCCAGAGACTCAACTGCCCATGGATAGACCTGGAAGACCCACCCCTACACTTGGGTGGGGGAGGGAGGGTGTTCACGAGTCTGTGACAGGACTATCAGTAAACTCAGGACCAATTCTGCTTTCCATGTTCTGTGTGGTCCCAGAGAGAACAGTTTGTTGCTTTGAATTTTGGTTTCATTGTCTGAAGAAAAGTTACAATAAACTAAATGATTTTGCAATATTTTTCCTGACAACTAAAATTTTGAGAACTGGTTGAGCTCAACTGGCACCGTATTTCCAGAAAATCTCAAAGGGACCTGGTGACTTCTGCTCTGCCCACAGAGCCTCTGGTGCCAGAGGAGAGTGTCAACTGTTCTTAAGCTGCCTTCACAAGTCTTAAGCAGTTTCTTCAGACTATCTCTTTCATATAAGTTTGTAGGATGGGCCAGAGCTATAGTGCATTTGCCTTGCACGTGGTCAACCTGGGTTTAATTCCTCAGCATCCCATATGGTCCCCCATGCACCACCAGGAGTAATTCCTGAGTGCAGAGCCGGGTAACACCTGAGCATCACTGGGTATGACCCAAATAGCTAAAATAATAATAATAATAATCACTGTATCACTGTCATCCTGTTGTCCGTCAATTTACTTGAGCGGACGGACACTAGTAACATCTCCATTTGTCCCAGCCCTGAGATTTTAGCAGCCTCTCCTTACTTGTCTTTCCCAATGCTGCCATATTAGAGGTTCTTTCAGGGTCAGGGGAATGAGACCCGTTATTGTTACTGTTTTAGGCATATTGAATAATAAATAAATAAATAAATAAATAAATAAAGGTTGTAGGGTGTTCTCACAACATTTAATGAGATCAAAGAGAAATGGAGGGGCTGGAGTGATAGCACAGCAGGTGGGGCATTTGCCTTGCATGCGGCCAACCCGGGTCTTATTACCAGCATCCCATACGGTCCCCGGAGACCGCCAGGAGTTATTCCTGAGTTCATGAGCCAGGAGAAACCCCTGAGTGTCGCTGGGTGGGACCTAATAAGCAAATAATAATAATAATAAACAGAGAAATGGAGGCATTCTCATTCATGGAAAGGAATGGCAGTACATCTTTGTCAAGACTAAACTTTCTCATAAATCCATCTCTTGCTGTGTTCACTGACCATATGATTATCCTATCTTCAAACCACTGTTTGAACTCACAGCCATACAAAGCAAAGATGTGCAAACTCCTATGATGAAAAGAAGATAATAAAGAAAGAATTATAGACCAATTCACTCTTTTTCCAACAGGACTATATCGCGAGATTTTACCCATCTAACTCAAAATCAAAAGATGTTAACAGTTTAGAAATGAGACTCAAGATAATGCAAAAGTTCTTTCGCCTGCCTATAACTGGAATACTAAATCCTCACATCATAGAAATAATGCAGAAGCCCAGGTGTGGAGTGCCAGATGTTGCAGAATATTCGTTGTTCCCAGATAGACCTAAATGGCGTTCTAAAGTGGTGACCTACAGGTTAGTTTTGTTTGGGTTCGTTTCAGCAAAAACTATAGAACCCTCTTCTTCAAAAAAGTAGATGGGACTAGAGTGATATTACAGTGGGTAATGTTTGCCTTGTACCTGGCTGACCCCGGATTTGATCCCCGCATCCCATATGGTTCTCCAAGCACCACCAGTAATTTCTGAATACAGAACCAAGAGTAATCCCTGAGCATCGCCAGGTATGACCCAAAAATTTTTTTTAAAAATTAGGTGGGGAGTTAGGAGATAGTTCAGTGGACCAGAGGGTGTGCTGGGGGGGGGGGGGGGGGGGGTCTGGTTCCATCCCCATCACTGTGTGGCCCTGAGCACCACTAGGAGTGGTCCCTGAGCATGGCCAGATATACAATCCACCAAAAAAAATGTTGGTGATGGAGGGTGGACACTCAGGTAAATGCTCAAGGGCCACTGGGCTCCACTCAGTGCTGTGGTTTCTATGCCAAGAATGAGGTCAGGGCCTGGCCCTGTGCTTGGTCACTTGAGCTGGATCCACAACACCTGCAAACTGTCCTTCTAGGCAACCAAGCATTGTTTATTGTTTGCTGCCAGGATCATCTCCTATACTGTAGAATTATCCCATGCCATGGTGGACCAGTTAGTGGCCAAGGCCTTGGACATGTGGAGCAAAGAGATCCCACTGAGCTTCCAGAGAGTCAGACGGGGAAATGCTGACATCATGATTGGCTTCGCCAGGGGAGGTAAGTGGGGAATGCACCATACAAGTGAGCCAATGGGCCCTTTATTTCCCTGTGTTATCCTTCTCACAGGAGAACATTCAAAATTGCAAATATATATGAGCATGTGTCTGTCTCTCTGTCTGTCTGTACACATAGAGATGTATTACACAGAGCCACATGCTACTCTGTTTTCTAGTCTGTTAATCTAAAGTCACTTTTTATAGTGGAGGAAAACGATGGTCCATGAGCCAAATTCAGCCCACTCTCTGCCTTTCTAAATTAATATTTATTAGAACATAGTAAACGTCTTTCATATACCTATAATCTATGAATGCTTTGAAGCTACACTGGCAAAAATTAGTAACTGATAGAAATAATGAAGCTTACAAATCCTAAATTACTTCGTATCTGGCTCTTTATAGAAAAAGGTTGCCAGACCTTGTGTTATACCATTAATCATGAAGATAGATACATAAAGATTATTGCAGACTAATACTATATTCTGGGATTGTTTAAATATATCTAACATCAATGGTAAACTAAGAGAACTTAAAACTTCAAGGCCCAGACAGATAGTATAGGGAGTAAGGTTTTGCCTTGCTTCCTCAGCATCCCAACATGTCCCCCACACTAGGAGTGATCCCTATGTCAGGAGTAAGCCCTGAACACCACAGGGTGTGATCCAAAACCAAAACACACATACATACACACACACACACACACACACACACACACACACACTCTCTCTCTCTCTCTCTCTCTCTCTCTCAAAAAATAAAAGATAATTTAAGGCATCAGGTAGTTTCTGAAAAATGGGACACCTTCTTTCCTTAAAAAAAAAAAAAGAGGACAACCAAACTCTTCTTATAGAAAGAAAGTATAAAATGGGAAACTTTCATATTAAATGACTTAAGGGGGGAGGAAATATGACTTAAGGAGATATAACCCATATTCTTGGCACAAGCCTCAGGCAACCGCAAGAGAATGTCTGAGTTCGCAAAGCAGTGAAGGAAGCGATAAAGGAAGACCTCAAAGAGAGAGGAGCAGCAGTTCTGGCAGAAGCTGGGAAAAGCATTCACAACACTCGCCTGTCCTTCGCCAACTACAAGACCAAGATGACTGGCCTCCGATGTCCTGATGGATCTATCACATCTTCCAGAAGGGCAATGGAGAAGATTATCCATGACTTCTACTCAGATCTCTTCGATAGCCATGTCCACCTGCCCACATACCAAATTTCACTGGATGGATATGTTGTTCCCAACATTCTCCCTTCTGAAATCCAACATGCCATTTCATCGGTAAAGAAGCAAACAGCACCCAGCCCAGACAAAGTCAGACCCAAACACCAGAAGAACCTGCCGTCAGTACTCATCAATACACTTGCTCGGCTCTTCACACACTACTTGTCTGAATGCAAGGTTCCATCCCAATGGAAAACCAGCAGGACTGTACTACTGTACAAGAAGGGAAACATCCACGACATTGGCAATTATCGCCTGATCTGCCTGTTGTCTGTTGTCTACAAGCTGTTCACTGGAGTCATCCTGAATACGATAGGCAGAACACTAGATGAAGGACAACCATCCGAGCAAGCCGAAAAGGTTTCCAAAAAGGATTCAGCACAATTGACCATATCCACACGATAACCAAGCTCACTGAGGTTTCTCAGGAGTCCAAGATGCCACTGTCTAACGTTCATTGCTTTAAAGAAGGCCTTTGATTCTGTTCAGACTGAAGCAGTCATCGAAGCCCTAACCAAACAGGGAGTTCAAACTCAATACATCAGGATCCTCCGTGAGCTGTATTGCGGATTCACTACCAGGATCTCACCATTCTACAGGGAGGTGATCATTGATGTCAAGAGAGGGGTTCGGCAGGGTGATACTATTTCACCAAAACTCTTCAGTGCCACCCTCGAGAACGTCATGTGACAACTGTAATAAGAAGGAATAGGAGTGAAGATAGATGGTCAGCAACTACACCACCTCCGCTTTGCTGATGACATTGTTTTAATAACACCAAACATTAGTCAAGTGACACAAATCCTTGCCGACTTCGACCGTGAGTGTGGAAAGGTCGGACTACAGCTGAATCTTACGAAGACAATGTTTATGAGAAACGGTCTCGTTCCTGATGTTCCATTCTCTCTCAACGGGATGAACATCTCCGAATGCAACAGTTATGTGTACCTAGGTCGAGAAGTCAACATGACGAATGACCTGGCACCTGAGTTGTGCAGAAGGAAGAGAGTGGCTTGGAACACCTTCAAGAGCATCGAAGAAATAGCTAAGAGGATGAAGAACCTCCGATTCTGGGCACATCTCTTAGATTCCACCGTTCTTCCTGCATTAACATATGCCTCAGAGACCTGGACCCTACGAAAACAGGATGAGAACGCTATTCAGGTCTCCCAAAGAGGAATCAAAAGAGCTATGCTTGGAGTACCACGCTTCACTCAAATGAGAGAAAGAATCTGGAGTTTCAGCCTCTGTCGACAATCAAGAATCAGGGATGCTGTCTCATCTGCCAAGGCGTCAAAAATCAGATGGACTGGACACGTAATGAGATTTGGAGATGACCGCTGGACTAGAGCCATTACCAACTGGATTCCACGAGACATCAAAAGATCGCGTGGCCGCCTACCTATGAGATGGTCAGACTTCTTCATCCAGACTCTGAATTATCGGTTTGAGGTTGTTAGTGTTCCTAGAACAAGCAGACGCCATTGGGCTACACTAGCATGCGACAGGGATGGATGGAGACATTACTGGTGCCTGCTCGAGCAAATCAATGAGTAACAGGATGTCAAGTGATCAAGTGAACCCATATTCTTGTGTAGCTTTAATTGTGTTTCCATGATAAACTATTTAAGGGAAAATATTGGTCAACTGGTCTGTTCTTACTGCCAGAGGGGCTGTGAATAGCTGAAATTTGATTTTCAACTACAATATTGACGATGCTGAGAATTGTTATGAAAAGTACTGATAGCGTCACTCCATGTATTTTAATATCTGAATTAAGTGTGAACAGCCTGACACCAATCTGAAAACAAATAACACTGCATCACACATGAAGCCATCATCAAAATCCACTGTAAGATAGTTTGAGCGTTGTTCTCCAAGAGACCATCTTCTCTATCACAAAGAATGAAAAGCCAGCCTGGGGCCTAGGACATGATTCTGTGGTCAAGCACAGGCCTTGCAAAAACAAAAAAGAAAGAGCAGCCAGATATCTTAAGCAACTTAGTGAATGCAGGACTCACACTTGCTTTCTAACCTGCCACAATCTGGCCAAGCAAAGAGATGGGTATTGCTTTGACACAACCACAGCTACCTTATTTAAGGTCCCGCATGCAGCAAGCTTTCAACATGGGGCAACAGTGAGTGAAGAGCAGTGGGTTCCTGAGGGGGAACATGTCTGTGTGTATAGCTGGTCACAGTCACTACTGGGCTCAGCTTCCTTACCTCAGTGACCATAAATTCAGAGACCAAATGGAGAGGGGAGGCGACTACTCGTGTAGTCAAACACCAGCCTTGAGTCTGATCCTCAGTTTCTCCCCTGCCCCCTGTCCCCACCACGGCACGACTGGTTTCAGCCCTGGTGGCCTCCATCCACATGGGCTGAGTGTCCCCTAGAGTGACTCCAGTGATGTTATTTCCCTGGGGCTTCACTGGCATGACCCATATTTAAGAAACGATAAGGAGGAGAGAACTTCTGTCACTAAGGGCAATAACTTATTTTTTTTTCCAGATCACAGAGACAACTATCCCTTTGATGGCCCAGGAAACACACTGGCCCATGCCTTTGCCCCAGGGCCAGGCCTGGGAGGAGACGCCCACTTCGACAAGGATGAGTTCTGGACGGACAGCACAGCCAATATAGGTATAGCAGCCCCCATCTCTTCCACCAGGTGCCCTTGGAAAAGCCTCAAATGGCCTAGACTGACTTTAATTTGGTTATTGCTTAGTTAGTAATAATCATGGAGCCCTTGGTCCCGGTCAGCCACCAAACTACACTTGAATTGCATTTCACTACAACTCCCCAGCTTCTAAATGAATGGTTGATTGATTTGGGAGTCAGAGGCAGGCACCATACTTTTCCAGCAATGGGAAATCTGAATATGACTTTCATCAACCCCCAAACCTAATGACTAACAGCCAGCCTTGAACTTGAAGTCTTTTGGTAAGAGTCAACCAACACATAATCTGTGTATAGGTTATATTATATACTGTGTTTTTACAGTAAAGTAAACCAGAAAAAGAAAATGTTACTAAAGTCACATGGAGGCAGGAATAGCTTAAGGGGTGGTGCATGTGTCCTGCATATATGAGACCTGAGTTCAATCCTGGGGTCTGTGGACTCCCAAGCATCATGTGGGGTGACCCTGGTGGTCTCTGCACCAACAACCATGAGCCTCAACCCCCAATACCAAACTGCCTGACCCAGAATCACTGGGACTCGCTCCTGGGCTCCTACTGCTGTGGAGGTCACTATTAAAAAAGAATAAAAAAAGAAGAAAATCCTACAGAAGTGAAAATACATTTATTCATATTGATCTAAGTGGTCCCAGCTGTTACTCAAGAGTCCACTGTATAAAAGACTGTGGATCTCAGGTCAATGTCAGTTTCCAGCTGCTCCATCTCTGCCAGCTGCCCGCTATGGCTGTGACCAGGTGACCTATTGAGTCTCCATCTCCTCCTCAGTGAATGGGATATAAAAAGTCCCACTGCACAGCATTGATGTTTGAATGGAACAGCACAATGCTTGGCGCACACTCATAATCCAATACATTGCAGCCTGAAGTATCTTCCCCAAATAAGGTTTTAAACTGAATGAGAAAGAAAAGCTGCAACTGTGGTAGTTAGGAATCACATGCAATTCTGGAATTATCCACTATTGTTCAGAAAGAAGTCACAGCATAGCCCAGCCCACCGCATTCATTTCCTTATGAAGCAGATTATAAACACATCAAAAAAGTAATGGACTGAAACCCTGGCCTAAACAATCCTAATTAGAGAAAAATTATTTAAAAGAAAAGGACTACTTACTGGCTTGGCGCAGACAGAGAGCTTTGGAATTCCCCCATGCAGCAGTGCTGCTGGGGAGAGCCAACCTCATCCATCGTGGCGAGGACCCCTTTGGCATCTTGTCTGCCTTTTCCCTTCTCCTTCCTTCCCATGAAAGGCAGACTAATGGCAGCTTCCTTCCATGGAATGCACCAAGGTTGGTAGGCGCCTCTCCTTAAAACGATTTACTTCCAAAGCCTTTGATGAGCCTGAAGGAGAGAGATTCAGTTGAATAAATCAGAAAATATGTAACTATTTTTAAAAAATCAGAAACAAAACGCAGTATTGGGAGCTGGAAAGACCACAGGTGAGGAGCTAGCCTTGCATGTGCTCAACCCAGAATCGATCCCTGACATCCCACAGGGTCCTCCACACCTACCAGGAGGAGGAGAGATACCGGAGCACAGCTAGGTGTGGCCCCAAACCCAAAACTAATGAATTAATTATAAAAAAAAAAAAAGCATTGCTCTGAGCCCATTCCAGTCTGGGCTTTCTCAAAGTCAGTGTTCTCTTTCCCCAAATTCAAAAGCAGTTTGTGGATTGGACAGTCATTAATTTATAGATAGTAGGAAGCCCTAAGTATTGGGACAGGTCTTCAACAGATGAGGAGCTGAGTCACCAAAATATCACCTGGCAGGCATGTATCAGTGCCAGGCAGGAACCAGTTCTGAACCTCATTGAAGCCAAATTTTACATGTAAACCACGGCTGATGAGCCAACAGGGGGCCAAGAGGACACCAGGGTACCAAAATTCTGCCTGGCATGTGCCCTTCCCCACATCCCAACCTCCCCACGCCACACACACATCTCCCACCCCCGTGTAAAGCAGAGACAGTAACATTAAGGCCCAATTACTCTTGGTCTCTCTTTACTGTGAAGACCACAAAACAAAAAAGAGGAGTTGAAGAGTCAGGTAATTCTTAGGTACTTATTATCCCCACGTGAGAACTTCACTGTTTTACAGTCACTGCATCTCATTCTTGACTACAGGGATTAACTTTCTGGTCACCGCCACTCACGAATTCGGCCATTCTTTGGGTTTGGGGCACTCTTCTGACCCCAACGCAGTGATGTACCCGATCTATAGCAACGGGGACCCGAAGGATTTCAAACTTTCTCAGGATGATATCGACGGCATCCAGAAGTTATATGGTAATCATCAGGGTTTCCCCTTGTCTCTGCAGAGCTTGGGTGAGGAGGGCTGGGAAAGATACTGGAAATCATATTGAAAAATGTCTTAAGGGGAGCAAGTTGAGACCTCAGCCGAAAGTTTATCTTGATACTCTGAAATATAAGGATTTGGGCTGGAGAGATAATACAGGGGGTAAGATACTTGCTTCGCATGCAGCCAACCCTAGCTCAGTCCCCGAGCACCACCAGAGGCCATTCCTGAGCAAAGAGGCAAAAATAGCCCTGAAACACTAACAGCCCATTAGCTCCCCCAAAAAGATAAAATATGGGGGTTTGTGGAAAGTCCTATAGGATAATACTTTTTAAAATGAAGAGGGGGAGAGAAAAAAGGGAGGAAGAGAGGCAGAGAGAGGGAGAAGGGAGAGAGAAGGAAAGAAAAAGAGGAAGAGAGAGAGAGGTGGGGAGAAAGAGAGGAAGAAAGAGAGAACACACTCGATGTAGAAACCAATTCAAGAAGCACTTTCTGTGTTCAGAACTGGGAATGGCCCTGAGAACCATCAGGTTTGACCCCCAAAACAGAAACAAACGCTTCCTACCACATCTCAAGTGCATAGGGCGTCAAGGAGAACCTGACAGACTCCAGTGTAGCCCCTTTCCTGAGACACCCACAGCTCCTGCAGGCGGAGTTGCGAGAAACCCACAGCCAGGCCCCAGGCTTCACAGAGACTCTGGAAGGCTAGCAGGCTTCTGCCCGCCCTCCCCTCTGAGCTCTGCTCTGGCCATGGCAGCGGGACTCTCTCAGAACTTAAAACATGGAGGAGGCAACTGAAAAGGATTCTGAGTCTGGTCAGAATTAGCATAAAAAGACTGACAAAGGGCCAGAGAGATAGTACAAGGGTTAGGCTCACTCAAGGCTCAGGGAATAGAGAGGCCCCTCATCCCTAAGCACAGTTGGGGTGCCCTGGGGTCCTCAGCCTTAGGGCTCAACCATCTCACCTGGCTGGCCGGAAATTGCAGGGAGTGACCACCAGCCCTCTGAGCACTGGTAGAGAGTTTCCTATCAAAAAATATAACCCAAGATAATAAAAGTGCATTAAATTGGACTAAGAGAAACCCTGCTGGGCATATGGCCTTGCACATGTGAGACCCTAGGTTCAATCCCCAAAACCACAAGAAAAGGACAAAAAGAAACAGGCTACTTCTAGACTAAGGATAATAAAATTTGGTTATAAAGGCAATAACTTGAAATGAGTTTATTAATACAAGAAATTATACGAACAGATCATACAAATACAAAAGAGAATTATTAAGCATGTGTGAGGTTCTGGATTCAATGCCTGGAACCAACAAAAAAAAAAGAAAAAAAAGAAAAAGAAAATTATTAGCTTCATGAACACAGATTCCCAATGTTCTTTTCGAATGAGAAAGATGCTAAGATTTCAGGGTCAAGGACTTACAGTAAACCAGGATTTCATGTGCATGACCTCATTTCTTCCGGCTAGCTGCTGAGCCATTCTGTGTCTTGGTTTACAGATTCATAATAACATCGAGAGAGCTGCAGTAGGAGTATCCAAAGCCACACGGCACTAGAGGGCCAGGGGGATAGCTAAGGATTGAGTCCAGACTCCACACGGCAGGGACGCTCAGAGACCTCCAAAAACACCCAGAGACTCCCAGAGATACCCAGAGACGGCTCCCAGAGACTACCAGAGAAGCCCAGAGATTTCCAGAGACTCCCAGAGATTCCCTGAGACAGACTCCCAGAGATGCCCAGTGACACCCAGAGACTGCCCTCTTAGCTCCAGTCATGGTTCTAGAACATTATTCTTAGGCACAGAAAGCAAGATGAGGTGAACCATGAACTGCTGCCACGAAGAAGCCCAACTAGGACCCCCAGAGACAGCACAAAGCTTAGGCCACCTCTGAGGTTTGGGTGAAACCCTACTGTGCCATTTTTCGTATTCTTAAAAAAGTAATGGAATTGTATTTTTAAAGTAAGATCCTTTTCTCTGTTTCATGTTGTATCAGAATGTCCCTGTTCTCTCTCCCTACAGGAACAAGAAACTAATATCCTAAAGAATTTGAGCTTTAGAAGAAGCACTCTCATTCCTTGGATCCTGGGTTACTGCTGTTACCTAGCCAAAGCTAAGGGGCAGCCCTGCCCTCCTCTGATCTCATCCGAGCTGGGGTCCAAACACTCCTCTCTCCAGGCAGAGTCACTGGCGCCTCTGTCATGTGTATCCCACTGTCCTGGGCAACTTGCACATGACAGGCAGCAATAAATGTTAAATGTGCACATGAAGAAAGTATTCCTCAGTGAAATGATTGATGTCTCAGAACACCATTTCTATGTCCACCGAAAACACATATGCAATGAGATCAAAAGACCAAGACCAAAAATGTAAACAAAACATCCACAGAATCGGGTTGTGTGTCCACTGCACCTCCTCACTCACTGGAGCTAAGAATGGAAGCTCCAAACATTCTAGAGAGTCTCGCCAGCCCTGACACTGCACACTCACATGGATCGTGCAACTGAGCAGAAGTAAATTGAATAATATCCTGACCCTTCTATCTTGTTAGAGGTGCAGGGATGGAAGAAGGGTGGAATGTGTATTTAGGCAAAATATAAAGAATTGGAGTTCAAAGGCTCTTTTCAAACATAAGGGGATCCCAGAGAGAACGTAGGGGTCAGACACTCTCCTTGCAGGGGTGACCCTGAGCATAGAGAAAGCCCTGAGCATTGCCAATGTGGGCCAACGCCCTGCCGCCCCACCACACACACACACACAGACACAGACACACACATACACACATGCACGTGCACACGCACACACACATGCACGCCAAAAAAAGCACAGAGGAGTAAGTCCATGATATTAGAATGAACCAGAAGTCAGAAGTCACTGAGCCCAAGTTCATTTTGTGGATAACATAAATGTTTCCATGATTAATATGAGAATTTGATGGTGACTGCAAGACAGCAATTATAGAAGAATTAGAACCAACATTTTTGCGGTCTATTTGCATTCCCGGCTGCAGCTGATGTTGCTCCCCGTCGGTTTCAATCTGCCCTGCTCCCTTCACCCTATTCCCGGGATGGTGCCTCTCCTCCCCTTTGTTCACAGTCATGGAGGACCCTGGAGCCCACCCATCCTGGCAGCAGCTCTGGGGATGCTGCGTGTCCTTCCTGCATGCAGAGATGCCTCTGAGGCTGCCTGGGTACTGGCCTGCAAGCTCCCACCCCAGCTCCCCACAGACCCCACAGCTATTGCTCTAGCTTCCGGTGGACTCTGGCTTCTTTTGGCAGCCCCTGGCAGCCATTGGCAGCCCCTGGCAGCCGTGTGCCAGGCTCTTCCGGCACCTGCACACACAGCCCCGGCCTATTTCTCAGCAGCCGCCACAGGAGCCAGGCTCCAACCAGGCAAAGAGGTTGACTATGATCATTCCCATCCGAGAAAGCAAAGCTGGCTCGGAAACAGAAACGTTCCCTACAGAAGTAAGGACCGCCCTTCTTTCCCCTAGAACTGTGCAAAGCAGACACAGGAAACCACCACTTGCACATCTGAGGCCCCGGGAGGCCAGTAAGCCTCTCCTGTGCGTCAGGCAGGTCTGGGTCAGGCGAGTGGACGACCCTGGGCGTCTTGCCCCCACGAGCGCATGCGTGCCACCCCGAATCAAGCAGCTTCTCAGCCTCCTTGGCACTCGGGACACAAGCAGAGGTCGTGCCTGATGCACAGAAATGTTTTGAGGGTTTTCTTGTTTTAGTGGGAGTTGTTGGGCCACACCAGGCAACACTTGGGAGTTACTCCCATCTCTGTGCTAAGAGGTCACTCCTGGGGATGCTCAGGGAACCATGTGGCGGCACCACCTGGAATGTGGGACCATAATCGGACCTGGACTTCTCACGTGCAACCTGACCCGCAGTGCTCTGTCTCTCTGTCTCTCTGTCTGTCCCTTTGTCTCTGTCTCTATCTCTCTGTCTCTGTCTTCGTCTCTCTGTCTGTCTCTGTCACTGTCCATCTCTCTCTCTTTCTCCCTCTCTCTCTCTTTCTCTCTCTCCTTTTGGGCATTGTGGTTTGCAATACAGATACTGATAGGTTATCCGGTATATCCCTTTACCTACATTCAACACTCAGTTCTTGTCAGGCGTGATTATTTCCAGCGACTATTGTCATCTTAGTCCCTTCTCTAACTTATTTACCAATTTTTATTTATTTTTTATTTTTTGCTCTTTGGGTCATACCTGGCGATGCACAGGGGTTACTCCTGGCACTGCACTCAGGAGTTACTCCTGGCGGTGCTCAGGGGACCATCTGGGATGCTGGGAATTGAACCCAGGTTGGCCGCGTGCAAAGCAAATGCCCTACCCGCTGTGCTATCTCTCCAGCCTCCCCGCCCCCCCCCCCATTTCTTTACTAGCTTTTGTTAGGAATGTATTTGTTAAATCATTGAAATAATAGTGACAGATTGTGTCTTACTGCTACTACTTTGAAAAATAAATACTAGTGAGGCCTTAGCGATAGTGCAGCGAGTAGGGTGTCTACCTCACCTGGCAGACCTGAGAGCCATCCCCTAAACACCTCCGGGTGTGCCCTTCCCTGCCCTCCCACTCCCCCGACCCACAAAAGAATTTGCGGTCATGTTTAAAACAGCCACACGGGGGCGCCTGTCCTCTTACGAAGCCACCATAGAGGCCCCAAGAGACCAACTGATCAAAGCCTGTTCACCACAGGACAAGTGGGGGGGGGGGGGGAGGGGGGGGCGGGGAGGGGGGGCAGCGGCGGGGGGGGGGGCAGCGGCGGGGGGGGGAGCCAAGGACATTTGCCTTGCACCCAGCTGACCCGGGTTCCATCCCCTGCCCCACAGGGGTCCCGGAACACCATCAAGAAGAAACCCCATGCACATATCCAGAAGTCTGAACACTGCCAGGTGTAACCCAAACTCCCTTCCTCTCCAATAAACGGCAAAACCAAGGAAATACAGCTGAGCCCTGTGTCACACAGGAAAGGGGGTGCCAGGTCCCCGCCCTGCCTATGTAGTGAGAAGCCTGACAGTCA